TGCTAGAAGACTGAAACAGGAAAATATAGTACTGCTGTTCAAAAACAAAGAAAGGAGGTCCTGCCAACAACTGATCAGTGAAGTTAAATGTAACTCTAGATAAGGTTCTAGAATCATTACTGAAATAAGTCTGTGAACAAAGAAAAATAACCAACATACACCCCTAAAAAGCACTACAGTTTCATTAAAGGCAAGTAATGACAGATGAATGCTCCTTCCCTGACATTTTTTTAATTGAAATGAAGTATAGAAAAGTATCTGGGTTTTAGGAAGGCAATTGTTAAAATGCCTTATATATTCCTTGTGAAAACTTGGAAATATTTGAAATGGATAATAATAAATCAGCTGGATTTCTAATTTGGCTGATGACTTGACCCAAAGAATTAATGAGTTGTGTTGTTTTTTTTAAAAATCAACATTAAGAGAGGTCTCTAACTCTTAGTTCTGTCTAGTCAACATTTTATTAAGATTTGCAGGAAGGCAATGTCAGCATTATCAAACTTACAGTTTATCAAATCTATGGACAAATAAATAAGTCTATTTATTGGAAGACCAAATGAGGATTTTGTTTTCAAGTTGTGAACAAAAAAGGGATTCTATGGAAAGTAACCTTACAAGATACTCTGATCACAAATTCCTAATTGGACAGATCACGGTAAGTAGTCACCTCCCAGACATATAACTTCTTTAGTAAAACGTTTATCTTTGATTTAAGCAAGCCCTGTTCATTGTTTCTGTGCATCTAGGTTAATATACTCTTGAAATTCCTGTTTTCAGACCCCCTCAAGAAACCACCCTCAAGAAAGTACATTATCTTGTTAAGTATCTTGTAATCTAATCCCCACCTAGCTTTCTCCCACCTTCATGTCATCTTCCTTCCTTCCCTCCTTAATTCCAAATTTGTAAAAGAAGCTGCAAACTGCCATTCTGGGAAACATTTTTCTCAGTCTTGAGATCTAGTTTCTAGGAGTGTCCTCTGGCTCAAATAAATTATAAAAATTCTCTACAGGTTTGAACATTTTTACATCAACACAGTCAACAGGCTAGAACCAATCTCATAAAATAAAATTTAATACATATAAATGTAAAGTCCTACCTAAACAGTATTCTATTAAAGAACTGGGAGAGCGTGACTTTCAGAATTGAGAAAGCATGGACAAAACAACTCAAGAATTTTAGCTGATTACAAAATCAATAATAGGTAACATAATATAGCACTTAAATACCAGGGACCATTCTAAATGCTTTACATGTATGTGTTCATTTATTCTCTATAACAGCCCTAGGAGATAGGTGCTACTATAAACCCCACTTTACAGATGAGAAAATGAGGCCCAAAATATTTACATAATTTACTCAAGGTCATTGAGTAAATTGATAAAATTTAATAGTCTTTAATAAACTGAAGAGGCAGGATTTAAACCCAGGCAGGCTAGTCCCAGGGTTCGTCTTCTTAACCAGGACATTATTTTTGAATTAACAGTGCAATGTGGTTGCCAAAACAGTGTCGATGTAAGAACACCCAAACCTGTAAAGAATTTTTTCTAAGATTTTATTTGAGCCAAACTGACAACATATTCTGGGGAACAAGAAAGATCTCAAATGCTCCGGAGAATAACGGTTTTGCAGCTTCTTTTATGCATTTGAAATGGAGGAAATGTAAGAAAGATTACATGGAGGTGGGAGAAAGCAAGGCAGGGATAGGATTATAGGACCGTTAAGATTACGTGTGCTTTCTTGAGGGTTGATACCCCCTTCCAGGAGTATTATTTCTGGTATTTCAAAGGTGTATTAACCTATATGCACAACAACAATGGACAGGGTTTGCTTAAAGCCTTTCACTAAAGAAGTTATAGGTCTGGGGCATTACTACCCATTATGACCTGCCTGGTTAGGAATTTATGATCAGATCACTCTGTGAGGTTGCTTTCCATAGAACTCCTTTTTTCGTTCATAGTAGCAAGTCTATTCTTAATCTTAAACTGCATGCTTTAAAATCAGAGAGGTAATTTATGGTCTTCTCTATTGGTTAATATCTAATTTTGGGAACTACACTTTGAAGAATATGGATGAATTGAAATAAATCCATAAATAAGACATCAGCACTGTGAACAGGCTCAAATCAAAACAACAAACCCATTAGAACTTAAAGACTGAGACGACTATGTCTAGAGAAGGAAAGTCAGTGGGATATAAATATCTTCAAATATTTGAAAACTCACATACAGAAGACAGTACTAGAACTAGTGAAGATACTAACTTCTCGTTCAGTAAAAGAAATAATTTCATAAAAATGAGAGCTGTCTAAAAATCGTCCCCTTAGAAAGTATGAAAACTATGAATCTTCTCTCCAGGAAAAAAATGTGCAAATGCATGTAATTTTGCATAAAATTTCCAAGGGTTCAAAAATCTTTGAAATGTACTCATGCTGCACCCCTAGAGTCATGTCCCCCAGATTAAAGTGGAAAGGCCAGGACAAAGAGGCAAGTAGTTTAATAACCCTTAGAGACTCGCTCAGGAGTCTGTCCGGGTCCACCTGTACATGTACTTTCCACACTCTGGATTCTCTCGTAGCGGTGGTGCCCTGTGAAACTTGCAACCCTGGGAGCAGTCATTCCCAGGCTTATCCCCTCATCCTGTCTCCAGGAGCCCGAATCCTAGCCTCTTTCTTTTCTCTACCTAAATAATATTTGCTTTCACTCAAATCATCATCATCTTTAAAGTTCATTACAACTTAAAATTCTATGATCTAAAAAAACTATCAACCCTACACTTTCTAGTTTCTTCTGGGATCCATCATGGTACATATTGCAGTAAGAGTTTCAATATGACAAAGTCAAAAAAAGTCAAGTTTGCCTAGCGACAATATAAACTATGAGTAAGTTCATGGGTAGTATGGCTTATTATTCAGCCTTTAAAAGAAATATGCCTAAGTTTAAAGATTAAAAAACAAGATGCTAATGTACTACTCAATATCTAATATTTAATGCCTAAAGTAGAAATTTCCCTCCTTTGCTTTTAAAACTTCATCTTAAACTCTCCCTTTCCATCCTTTGCTCCTGGTTAACTGTTAAGACTGACAGACCAAGAAATAATGGACTAGAAGTGAGATACTTGGGTTCTAATTCACTACCTTTGTCATGAATTTAATTTTGGCTTAAGTCCATTTTCTCATCATGTTCTATAAACTTTCATATACCTAAAAGGGCTTTTTAAATGGTTAAGTGCTATGTAAATATAAATAACTCATGTATCATGTCTAAAACATAAATTATCAACAGCAAGAAAACAAAGCCAATCTTTCTATCATGTTAGAAAACAAAAACCAAATGTATATTCACATTTCAATTCCTAATTATAAAAAGCAATCTCTGAATCCTTAGGGTGTGTTTTAAGGCATAATTTTCATCCACAAATGCTTTCTACATTCAATTTCAAGTTGTATTGAGAGGACAGAGCCCAGACAGTTAAGAATTCTGGCAGCAAAGGAAAAAGTGGAAGGTGCCAGTGCACTGCACATTTGCAAGAGTTGGAGGGAAAATTACATGATCACAAAGGTATTACACCCTTGAAAAATCCATTTTCTCTCTTAAACCACTAGAAGTAAAGAGAACTAAAAAAAGTTAAGAGTTTAAAAGTCTTGAGCTGTTATGAACACACGTAAGTGCCACACTGCTGAAATTGCAAATGTCCTGCCAGAACAGCACTACAGACACCATGCCCGCCACTAGACCAGACTCAAGATACAGGCACAAGATGTTCTACCAAACAACAGCATCGGCAGCCAGTACACAAGCGTTAGAGAATCTAGGCTCTAGGCATCTGATTTTTCTCCTTGGGGCTACTTGAAAATGGACACTGCTATGAAAGATTTATTCTAGTAATAGGATAATCATCAAGGTTTAGCTGAATTATACGCCAACCAATGACATGGAAAAGCAACAGGCACTATCAGATCAACTAAATTATTTTATATTTAATTTTGAACACACAGGTCACACTTAACTGTGTAGAGAACAGATGAATTCAACTATATTTATCACGTGAAGATGATTTCAAGCCCTGAAGAGAAAAGTGGCCCAGAAAAATTCAGGCTGTAGAAAGTCTAGTGAAAACAACTTGGTTTGGGGAGCAGGGGGAAGGAGGAGAATGAGCCACTGACTTAAAAAGAGAGCAAGTAAGTGGGACACGGAGTCTGAGCCCTCGGATGGAATGAGGAAGCGAAAGGCTTCAGGGAGCTTCAGCAGTGAGCATGGAAAGGGACGAGCCCGGTGACTGTCAATAGAAAAAGAGAACCGGGTACACGGCACCCTTCTGAAGCAGCATTCCTGGGAGTCAGTAATAAAAGCGCCTAACTCATGCATAGCACTTAGTATGTTGTGAGCCTTGTTCCAAATGCGTTCCACAGATTCGTGGGTCCACTTACTGCTCGGAACACCCCGCAACACCCCCGACACCCCGAGCAGGCAGTTACTACTCTTTTACAGATGAAGAAACTGAGGCCACACAATGGACAGGGACCATGGCTCTCGGGAATTTCTCAAAGGAGTCTGGGCCCTAAAAGTGATCCTCGACTTTGGAGAAAAAGTTCCTTTATGGAGGGAGGTTCTTCCAAAAGCACAAAGCTCTGGAACTCTGAACAACACCTAGCTGACACGGATGGAGGCGTGTGGGTCACGAGGGGAGGAAAAGTCAGGAAACGAGACTCAGAAGCCATCCTCCCCTGAAGAGGCAGAGGAAGGAGAAAGTAGCCTTTCCTCTCCCCGAGGCGTGACTCAGGGACGTTGCCTCCCCCCAGTTTGCGGGGGGGCAGGGGGGCGCTCCTCCAGACTCTCAAGGGTTACCCCGCCAGGCCTGGAAGGATGCGTGGTTATAAACAGACAGGACTCGGGGTGACCAGGGGGCCCTGGAGGGGCAGGGAGGGCAACCTGCCCAGGATGCCCCGGGCCGGGTCCAGAGGCCCTCGGCATGGGTGCCCGCGCCCTCGCCCCGTGCCTTACCCCCGCCTGGCTGCCGAGGACGAGGTGGCCGCGCACGGCTGTTCTTCCCAGCCTGGGGCACCCGCGCTTGGCGGCGGCCGGGTCCCGGCGGACTCACACTCGGGGCGGGGGTGCGAGGTCCGCGGCCTGTCCAGTCAAGGCCCTGGAGT